TGCTCTTAGCTGACCAAATAACCTAACAGAATGTGGCAAGCACCTTCAGTGAGACAGGGATTTCATCCGGTCTGACAACTGACAGACAAACAAAAGCAGTCACAGAAACAGCAAACACACTGAGTTAGTAACATGTTCTGATATTAAAACACGCTTTGCCTTCATCTTTTCACCACTGTTATCTCGCTGCTATATGTAACAACAAAAGCTGAAGAGGTCTTGTGAAACCGGACGGATATGCTTAATTACAGTTCCTCTGGAGTGGATACCATCCACCCTCAAGTGTTTACTGTTGCATAATACTAATAATAATACTTACATTTCTCTTGATGAGAGACACTGTATCCATAACTTCACCGATCAATACGCACAGAAGAAGCCATGCTCTTGCATGGGTGATATGCATAGGTGGAGTAATGGGATATGCGCTTCATGTATTAACATTCTGCCGGATGGTTGATGCCAAAGCCAAGTTAAGCAAACGTTGGTGTTCCTATGTTTTTGGGCCCCACTTGGAATAGCTCATCGGGGGATTTTTCCCATATGAATACAGAGCTTAGGGTAGTTAGATCAATGTAATCGGCGAGTCTGCTAATAAATGTTGCCACATTGGCGCATGACCTAAGGGTTATTGGTAGTTTATTTCACAAATAGCTGTATCTGACCAGGAAGAAATTAGAGCGGACGTTCGTTCTAGCCTTCGTTATATTCAGTGTACAATCTTTGTTTCGAAACGCTCGAGTTGAGCAATGTTGTAAACTGAGTGTGGGCAGGTTGGAATAGCTGTTTTTGTGTATACACACACACACACACACACACTATACACGTTAGCTAGAGGTGGGAAACACCTTAGCTACTGTGTAACATGTTGAAAAGCAGCAACTAGTTGTGCTTCAATCGTCGAACCCAAAGTGGTTCGAGATGAAGTTCATTGCAACGTTCTCGATAACTCATTGCAGAGTGTTTACCAATCAGATATTTAGTAAAGGAACTCCGCAGTTGCTCCACATCAATTCTGTCACCCTTTCTCATATTGCCGTATATTATGCTGTAGTATATGAGGAAGGGTGCGAGTGAATAGCTTGAAAGTTCAACTCTAGTCCGAGTTGGGTGTATTTTGTTTGCTATATTGAACATAGACTGTCTGGCACGTGCTAGTTGTTATTGGGTTTGTTCGAGAAATTGAAGGTAGACGAGTACCTAATCCCAAGATCTCGCGTGGTCAACTGTGTAGGGACGCTTTCATTGTTTAGGGTGATAGATCCTTCGGGGATGCAACAGCCGCAAGACATGACGCTTCATTTCTTAGCCGAGAGGTTCATCACTCATGTGCAGCACCATGACTCAAGGAAATGTAAGTCATCTGGAATGAGCAGTTATGTCAGGTGAAGCTCGTCACGCCGAAACTTATGGACTACTTTGATTTCGTCAGCAAATAAAAATGACGTACCATGTTTTACAGATGTGTTGATGTCATTGATGTAGAGCAAAAAGAGTTAGGGACCGTGCACCCTCTCTTAAATGACTCCACTAGTGATTGAGCATGCGGAAGAGCGATAATCACCTAAAGTGACTACTTGATGACGATCACACAGGTATGACGATAGCCAACATAGTAATGGGTCCCAGATCCCAAACTTCTCTAACTTTTGTAGCAGTCGTTTTTGCGGTACTCGGTCGATCCCATGGTGTATGTCAAGAAACAAGATTTATACTGCATAGCCTGAATCGACTGATTCTGAAACGTGATTAAGGTAATGCAGTTGACAGGTGACGCACGATCGCTTAATGAGAAAACCACGCTGCAAATTATTGATCGGGCCAATAGAATCAACAAAGTTCCTCATCTCCATTCTGACCAGCTTTTCAAATGGCTGAGCCATTATCAGAGTGTGGTGAATTGGTCGGTAGTTATCAGTCGTTTGTTTGGGACCTCCTTTACGCCGAGGCATACTTAATGACGCTTTCCATTGGTCAGGAAAGTGGTCAGATTCCAACGCTAGAGTGAACATGCTCATCAGGAGCAATGGTATATCAGGCCCTCCTAGTTTAATGGTGGTTGGTGAAATGCCATCAGATCCCAGCTTGGAAGATGGCCTGATTGATTTGATAACTTGGTGGATAGCCTTGAGCGAGATATCGCCTCTGCTTAAGAGGTTTGTTACTGTGAGCTCTGTGTACACAAACACAGGATCAGCTTCGTGACTCATAGTAGTGGCAAAAAGTCATCGAATGCTTCACAGATTTCAACTGGGTCATGGAGTAAGTGACCCTCACCATCAACAATTTCGGTAATCAGAGGAGAGCGGTCACTGGTTCTATGATGCAGTAATTTGACAAGCCCCCTAGCTTTGCAGTATGTCCGTCGTGTTAATTGCGCGTGTTTGACTCTGGTGGTAAATGCATGCATTTGTAAGACAAGTGAAAAATCATGGGTTCTTCTGTATCTTGCAGCTAACATTTTGCTTTTCTTGCTGATTAAGTGCTCGACGGAATCTTTGGAGACATGAGGGGTATGAATGCATTGTGGCTCAAGAAGGGCTATAGCGTCATGGATTTGTTTACAGAACTGCTCCACAGCAGTGTACACACTGGTAGCGAGGAAAAATACATCCCTGTCGGAGAAACGAATGAACTGCTGCAAGCATTCCCAGTTTATCTGGCGTTGTAGAGGCGAGTTTAGTGACCATTTTAATTTGGAAACTGAGTCGGCTCGTGTTATGGTCGCTGCCAGGGAGATTGTCTAAGATCTCGGTCTGTTGATTGGGTATCCCCAATGTGCATATTAAATCCAGTTCATTGACGGATCTGGTTGGACTGGTAATACATTGTGACCAGCCCCCAGCTCTGATGGAAGAAACAAAAGAGGCGTGCAACTTAGACGTTGGGTGGGATGACCAGCATTTTTCGGTAGGTTGAAGTCGCCGGAAATAATCTTCTGGCTCTGTGGTAACTCTGATGCGAAGTCAAATGCAGAAGTGATGTTGGTGATACTCATGTTAGAGGCATTCGGTTGGTTGTGGATACATGCGAGCAGTGTGTAAGATGAGACACTCGCAACTGACAGCCAAATAGATTCAGGGATATTTTCCACTTGTGAGTGGTCTATAGGTTTAGCTGTAAATGTTTTGCGTAGGTATATAATACACCCTCCCCCTTTTCTGTCGCAGCGATCTTTTCGAAATAGGTGGTAGTTTGGAATCATCAGAGTAGAGTCAAGTGTATCTATCTGAAGAACACCATATTTCAGTGAAGAGGATCGCTTGTGGGTCATTTAACTGTGCAAATGTGTTTATAAAATGAAGTTTGTTGATTATGGACCTGGCGTTAATCAGAATCACAGCAAATGTACTAAGTATTGGGGAATGATCGCTGTCCGTTGTGTGATCGTCTGAATCTTTGCATTCTACCATGGTGCACATGGTAGGTAAGTGCGAGTATGGTGGGCCCGAGTTAGTCATTAGAACGTTTGTTGTTAAGGGTAGCATGTCTTGTGTGGATATCGAGACAGTTGGAAGCACGACGGGAACCCAGCCATTATGCTCAGGTTGTTGTTGTTGTTTTGACAATGGACTAGCTTTGTCATTTGGACAAATCGGAGGAAGCGTGGGATCAAGGTGTTGACCTCCGCCGGAGGTATCTGAGATGGGAATGGGTGAAAGTCCAGTCCGGTCGCCGTTAAAAAGTGGTTGTTGGAGGAAGCCGCTTGAGCGGTTGAAGGAACATAGAAAAGAGCGGGTGGTAAGATACTCCTACTGGTCGATGTCCTTCAAATATCTGCGCATTTCCAGTGATTGTTGGGAAGTGTAGCATGATAATTAGGCACAGCCAAGAGACAGTTGTTGTTGGTCTTATTCAACATGGGTGGTTGTTTACCTTGCTGCTTGTAGGAGGTTGGTCCATAGGGAATTTTTAGTGCCACCGATTATTTAGTATCCAAACGTTTTTTAGAGACATAAGTCCCTTGATTGGAGAAGTCGTCCTTGGGCTACAGCGGACTATGAATTACACCAGATTGTCTATCCTTGGACGTGTCATTTTGGTTTGGACCGGGTTGTGCTATATTCAACGAGTTGTCATTACTCCACTGTTCCAAGCACTTAGACTTTCTTTTAATCCTTCTGTATGAGGAGTTCGATATAATGGGAGTGTTGTTGTCAGGAATAGGAGAACGTGCTTTATCCTTCCTTGTGTAGAGGGTGTTTCAGTGGAGCAAGGAAAGACGGCTTTGGAGCTAGTTGACAAGATTGTTATCTTATCGATGTCTAAATCAAGGTAACTAGTAACCGCCTTGGATGCAATCGTTTTTTGGACGCTTTGCTGAGATTTCTCGAAGAGCCCAGTTATTTTTTCCGGTGTTCGTGGCACAGTGCCAAGTTCAGAATTTTGTGTGAGTTTCCTATCAGGTTTACTCAAAAAGCCTTTAAATGGCGTGCACTGGCTTTGGAAGGGTCCATAATGGAGGAATAGCTGCGCGACTTCCTCATTCGAAAATTTGAAAATGATTGGACAACAATGTTTGGGTGTCTTTCTTTGTAAACGTTAGCATTTGCAGTCAAGGCTGAACATAATACAAGGCTTCAGTATGGTTAGTTTTACTTTCTCCAAACTCAGCCTGTCCGGAACATTAAAAACAAGCACAGTTTTGGGTCTACATATCCATTCGTGCACTTCAGAGGCAACAGAGGCAATTAACTGCCTTGCTTTTCTCATTAGAACTGGATCGGTCTTCTCCAATGGATTATTGATGTAGTCAAGCGAAACCAGGTGATTTTGAGGGGTTCAAAGAGTGTCAGCGTTTTTCACATCTCATTAATTTGTGTTTCAAAAGAAAGCAATTTATCACTTAGTTCTGCGGTGAGTATACTTTTATCCGAGAAACCAGTCCGCTTTTCTTTTGGTGCCTTACATTTTATTCGCTTTGCTGGTTTCGTGGAATGTATACTACGCTTAGTTTGCAGAATACGGCGAAACTTCTCTGGGGCCATTGCGATCTAAGCTTGTTGAGGTTCAGATTCAAGCTCCAAGATAATATACTGATGCAAGCAAAACCAACGTTGTGTGATTTCTCGCAGTTTGAGTTTGATAGGTGGGTTAGATACCACGACTACGTTTGTCGTTAATAGCCACAATTCAACGAACGTGTCCCGACATGCAACAAATCCAAGCTGGCGGACGCAGTTGGCAGTTGGGCTAAACAATAAGAACTTCAAAATTAGCCAGAGAACATGCACCAAATTTACACAGATTGAAGAATACACTAAAGGAAAAATATATATTGGTGTACAGTTCATAGAAAAGTCAAGTATAACAGTATACCGGGAGAAAACTGGAATCCAACACGGTAATCCTGTTAGGAAATTGGTGAAATCTTTGGTCCAGTTCTTTTATCGGTGATTTGATGAGGACTAGGTTCTAACCATGTGAGAGAACACTAAAATCATTTCAGCTAATGAAAGAGGAATCAGAGCGGATCTCCAACTATCACCAAATACCTCTACTTCCGATGCAGTCATTGCAATCATGGCTAAAACATGATCTGGTTACGTTAAATTAGGGATGTCCAAAGTCCAGCCCGCGGGCCAAACGCAGTCACCGCTAACTTTTGACTGGCCAGAGGCCTCATCATGAAATAATACATTCAACGGTTTTTTTCTATCTAGACGACATTAAATAGACTAAAAGATCAAGGACATTATGAGTAGAAAATTAAATGGAGTCAGATGCTGACAAAAGTCAGCGATGTAGGATTTTTATTTTTAACCAGAAAGGAAAAGTCAGTATAATGCTACGATTACAGGGGTTTGTTAACTTTTCATATATTTGACTGGCTGAAGCTAATCCTTTTAGAACGGGATCTTTGTTTTAGAGGATAGCTCAGACTCTAAATTTTTATTGCGCGTTAATTCAATTTGCTTAGATTTACTTTAATTAGACACAACAGTTTCACCTTGCTGCTTAGTTAATTCCACAGAAAGAAACATTTTCCTACCCCACTTTCACAACTATTATGATAAGAGGGTTTAACAAACTAAAAAAATTAATTCATTAAGTTTTTAGTTCTATGACTTTATTTATTTTGTCGACGAAGAATGCGACGAAAAAGATAAGCTAATGATAAATTGCGCCGCTTCCAGGAAAGGTGGAAACTAGAGTATATTTTACTGAAGGGCTTAACAAGTGTGTGTGTGCCTCATTTGTTTGGCATGACTGTTTTCAAAGAATTCACTATCAAGAGGCATTGCTAAACGGAGCAGGCTAACTCTGACGTTGACTAAAAATGAACGAGTTGGGAAACTGAAACAACTGAAAGCTGGACTAACCTCCCAGCAAAGCCTGTTTGTAAGAATTAGTCAGTCGAGTGAAACTGCGACAAAGTTGTGATGCGGCAAAACTAATAGCGGAACACTGCAAACCATTTACTGAAACGAAATTTAGCAAAAAATAATTGATGAAAATTATGGAAACTATCTGTCCTGAGAAAAAGCAAGAATTTGCTGATGTTTGCCTGCCGCGCAACACTGATTCGCGGAATTGAAGTTCTCCTCTGATATTAATAGAAAATTAGAGGCAAAACGAGCAAAATATGACATTTTCCGTTAGCCTAGGCTGCAAGCACTGATGCATCTAATACTCCACAGCTCATTTTTTTGAAAGATATTGACTCTGACATGTGTGTGCGTAAGGAATTACCTGACCTGCAGAGTTTTAAGTACTAAACACAAGGAATTGTTTTATTTGCTTCTGTCTTTTCTGTAATCAGTGACAAAAACTATCATGGAAAAATAGCTGGAATTATTAATGACGATGCCCCAGACATGACTAGCGAGCACAATGGATTGGCAACACTTATCAGTAACAAAGTCAGCGAAGATGGAAGCAAAGTCATTAGATTCCACTGCATCAATCATCAACAATTTATTTGTGCCAAACATCTTTGGTGTAATCATCTGATGAAGCCAGTGATAAAAACTAATAAATCTCTTCGATTTAAAGCCCTGTTTCATCTTCAATTGCAGCAGTTTCTACTCAACGTCCAGGGAGAATATGGAGATGTTGCGTATCACAATGTCGGAAGATGGCTCAATCGAGTGACTGCACTTCATTGCTTCTATACTCTTAGAAAAAGAATTGGGCAATCCATGGAAAATAAGAAACAATCGATGACAGAACTCTCGGATCCTGCTTGGCTAGCTGATTTTAGATTTTGGTTGATATTACACGGCACCTGAACATGTAGAGCACGAGCCTTTAGGGTAAAAATGCAGTGGTATGCCAAATGTATTCAAACAGCAAAGCGTTTAGGAATTAGCTGCAAGTTTTCCAGAGGCAACTATCTTAGACGCAGCCTAATACCACACATTTTGCATCACTACAGAAAATCATGACGTTTTCCAGAAAACTACATCGATGCACATGCAGAATTGTGTCGCAGATATTGTATTCCTGGCTGATGAGTTTCAAAGGCGACCTCAGGATTTTGCAGTCATTGAGAAGGGGATCGAGAGTTTTTCTTCGCCTTTCTCTGTGGGCCCTAGCAATGCTGCAGGGCACTTGCAACTGTAGCTCATTAAGTTGTAAAATGATGTTGAATAAAGCAGTCGGCACCAACAGCTTTCTCTAATGGATTTTCACTGCCAGTTGGATAAAGACAGATTCCAAGACATTCGAACATCTGGCAAAAGAAGGCTTAGTTTCTTTGACTCGGCATACTTGTGTAATCTGACATTCTCCGTTTTGTATTTTAACTAGAGCCGTGTGACGACGCGAATAAGTGATTCTCAGTTACTTACTATCTTGCGTAGCTAAACCAGTGTTTTCGCGCCTGATCTAATCAGTTTACTGCAGTTTCACCGCAGTTTCAGCCATCACATTAAAAACTTGCAATAAAACGTTGTAACATCTATCCTTTTTGGTTTTTGCTTTAATGTAGGTCTGAATAAGACCCGGCATATGGTTACCACACAAAATATGGCGTCGAGCTCCCTTGCATGTTATAGGGATGTGCAACCTCACTCACCAGCGGAGGAGGTAATTTCTGGAAATATTAAACAACGAGTTAGCGAAATACGGAGTGAAGAACGTTAACTATTCAGTTGCTTGAATGTCGAATAGAGCAAAATGACGTGATGGCATGTGTATCTGGAAAATCCGCCAACGTATAAGATGAACGCATGTAGATTTAACCCTTCCAGAGTGCTGATGAACTACCGCGATTTCCTGAGCCAATGTTGCAGAATGTGCGAAGTTGGACGCCTGACAAGAATAATAGTAAAACACTAAAGTTGCAACCCTCTAAACAGGTGGATCTAGAACGTACCACAACACAGATCTTCCATGCACAAAAAGTTGATTCGTTTCAGACAGCGTTTCATATTCCCACCATTGAGATTCATCTATTCGCTGAGCCCACACGTTTCATTGATCACAACTACACGATTCATGACGGTTCCTCCGCGTCATAGCGAGACCGACGGAATGCACAAACAATGCTTTTGTCACGGACATCTGTGGAACCGCAGTCGATTATAGATGATGAATACTCTCACGGCAATCCCTCACCGAATGAACTTACCGACTGGCACTTCGGTAAGACAGTCTGACAACATGACAACTGACAAAGCCAGATGTAACACAGCATTCACTAACATCACGCAATTGTGATGGTTAAAACAGACTGCGCGTAGGACACGTGCATGTGGTGGCCACATCGGTAACTTACCATTTGGAATCTTGTTCCACTTAAGCGACACGTTACTCAGGCCACGCGCCGACATGGTTCGCCAGTGTGATGTGAAACACTGTGGGGTGGCGTGTTCAACTTGTCAAGTAGTATAAGGCTACGGAAACTCCCAGCGCGGTCAAGCCTCTCAAACCACTGTTATTTTGAGATATTATAACACTACTAGATGGCTAATGGATCGTACGCAGAGTAAAGCACCAACAAACGCGTCCTTGATTTCAAACGTGGTCAGCGTCGTCGATATTATTCCGTATCTTTGACCGAAGGTGGCAGTACTCCGTTGTTTTATTTTTTCGTAAACAACTGAACTGAGAGTGCTGTTAGAATCAGCCAGCTGCTATTGGTGATAACCGCATAATCCAGA